GAGCGCGGCTCACCTCGGGCAGCGGGCGGCACTACCTGGAGCTGGAGCCCAAGCGCGGGGTGCTGCTGGTGCGGGAGCGCATGGACCGGGAGGCGCTCTGCGAGCTGAGCCCTTCCTGCTTCCTCAGCCTGGAGCTGATCATCGAGCAACCCATCGAGGTGCACAACGTGGAGGTGGAGGTGCTGGACATCAATGACAATGCGCCGCGCTTCCCTCGCCAGGACTACCGGCTGGAAATAAGTGAGTCTGCTGTGCCCGGGGCCCGCTTCCACATTGAGAGTGCCCAGGATCCTGATGTGGGTACCAACTCTGTGCAGAGCTACCAGCTTAGCCCCAGCCACCACTTTGCCCTGGACCTCAAAGGCTTCCAACGGGGGAGCAAACTCCTAGAGCTGGTGCTGCAGCAGCCCCTGGACCGGGAGCAGAGTGCCCTGCAGCAGCTGGTACTCACTGCTGTGGATGGTGGGGACCCCCCTAAGTCTGGAACAGCCCAAATCTCTGTACGAGTTGTGGACACTAATGATAACCCACCTGCCTTTGATCGCTCCACCTACACTGTGAGCCTCCTGGAGAATGCCCCACCTGGCACGCTAGTTGTCAAACTCAATGCCTCAGACCCTGATGAGGGCTCCAACGGGGATGTGATCTATTCTTTTGGCAGCTACACACCACAGAAGGTGAGACAGCTTTTCAGTGTGGACCCACACTCTGGGGAGGTAAGGGTTAATGGTACCTTGGACTATGAAGAAGCATCCTTTTATGAGATCTATGTGCAAGCCACTGACCAGGGCCCTGTCTCCATGGCTGGGCACTGCAAAGTGCTAGTCAACATTGTGGATGCCAATGATAATGTTCCTGAGGTGGAGCTGACTTCCCTGTACAGCCCAGTACCAGAGGATGCAAGGGCAGGAACTGTGGTAGCCCTGATGAGTGTCACTGACCAGGACTCAGGACTGAACAAGCAGGTGAGTCTACGTATTCCTCCTGGCCTCCCCTTCACACTCAACTCCTTCAAGAATTCCTACACTCTGGTCACTCAGGGCCACCTGGACCGTGAGAAGGCAGCATCCTACAACATCACAGTTACAGCTACTGACTCTGGGAGACCCCCTCTCTCCTCCCAGAAGGTGATCCATGTGGAGATCTCTGATATCAATGACAATCCCCCACACTTTGAGGAACCTGCGTACTCAGTTTACATACCTGAGAACAACCCCCTTGGGGTCTTGCTGTGCACTGTCAAAGCCACCGACCCGGATGTTGCCAAAAATGCCTATGTATCCTATTCTCTACTGGATGGGGAGATTGAAGGGCTACCTGTCGCCTCCTATGTCTCTATTAAATCCGATAATGGCAACATATATGCTGTCAGCTCCTTTGACTATGAGACACTAAGGGAGTTCCAAGTAGTTGTCCAGGCCCAGGATGCTGGGATCCCACCACTGAGCAGTGCTGTCACTGTCTACATTTATGTCACGGATGAGAATGACCATGCTCCGCAGATCCTGTATCCTACCTCAACCAACACTTCAGCAGCCCTGGAGATGATCCCACGCTCAGCAAATGCAGGATATTTGGTAACCAAAGTTATAGCTATTGATGGGGACTCAGGGCAAAATGCCTGGTTGTTTTTCCACCTGGTACAAAACTCAGACTCGGATCTCTTCAGGGTGGAGCTCCATAGTGGGGAGATTAGGACTACTCGCAAACTGGGGGAAGAGAGCGCACCTACTTTCAACCTGACAGTGGAGGTGAGGGACAATGGAGAGCCAGCGATGTCCTCATCAGTGGCCATCACAGTTGCTGTGGTGGACAGAGTTTCCAAAATCATCCCTGACACAAGAAGACATGTTAAAAGTACGAGGAATTACTCAGAAATCACTCTTTATCTCATTATCGCTTTGAGCGCCATCTCCTTCGTTTTCCTTTTTGCAATTATTGGGCTTACTATTATCAAGTGCTACAGATATAGTCTGTATGGGGACTCCTGCTGCACCGGTTTCTGTGGGGTCAGAGAACGGTGCCCTGCTGAAATGTATAAGCAGGCCAACAACAACATCGACACTAGGTTGCCCCATGGTTTAAAAGTGCAGCCCCATTTCATTGAAGTGAGGGGCAACGGGTCTCTCACTAAGACCTACTGCTATAAGGCTTGCCTAACTGCAGGATCAGGAAGTGACACTTTTATGTTTTACAATACTTGTGGCCCAACAGGAACTGGTCCCTCTGCAGTGATGACTGAGAGGCATCTGACAGGACAGAGTGGGCAGAGTGCACAAAACCTGATTATACTTAAAAATGACTCCATTACTCCTAACGAGGTGAGGCTCCATGGATAATGACAAGTGCTCTGGGCAAATTGATGCTTAAAGGAGATTCAAACTGGAAGGCCTGAATTCCTTGTATTCCCTTTTGGGTTTGCTGAAACATAACTACAAAACCCGTCTCTAAGGAATTTTAATCTGTGCAGTGCATTTTATTTCTAGGTAAATACTGGGGCTTTCAGGGTCCATTTGGTAAGTTCAGCATATATGTCTGTTGTCAGCTATTTTTTTTTCAGCATGTGCTAAATAGAGTGTTGCCTTTTTCTCCTAGAGATCTAAAACTGCTTGCTGTCACAGAGCACTAGGGTATGGCACACATGGTCTTACATTTTTAATGTTATAGCCAGTACTGTAGGAAAAAAAATAAAAAGAGATTAGCTTGGAAATCAATAGGCTACTTTATGGCAATTATAGATATTTGCAACTTTATTGATTTCATACCTAGACAAAGTTATTGGGGCTAAATCACTACAGCAATGGGCTTTGCTTACCAGTGTGGGTGTATTTTCATTGTCTGAAAACTGCAGTCTGTCTTTTGACAGACTTCAGAACTATCTTTCTGCATTATACTAAATTTTGTGCTTTCTGGACTGTGATAATCCAGTGGCATATTTCTAGAGCATTATAACAAGTTACCTTCATTATGTTGCGGTGTAACAACTTCTAACCTGCTGAGTCGATACTGAAAAGTGTTTAATCCCTATGGTTTCACCAGCAGTATATTAACCTCTTCAATACTTTCCCATGGTGAGAAATTAATGGTTGCTTTCTGTAAAGTATGCAGCCAGTCTGCAGTTGGTGTGTAGGTTTTATACGGTGTCATGTTTACTGATAATAAAGCCAAATCCAGAAATGCCCAACCGGAGAGAATAATTATGGTGGACAAAAATGAACATTTTGCAAATACTGTAAGTTGTTTGTACCATAGGATTGTGTGTGCATGTGTCAGTTTGTGCATTAATGTGTAGTATGTATCCAAGAATGGGGAAGTGAAGGGAAAAAATGTGGTGGGGATGGAGAGGACCCTAGCTTGTGTGTACTTGCACAGAAATATGACCTATTTCTTTGTTTATTTATAGCTATTTAAGTAGGAAGATGTTAGCATCTTTTACAACTGGTATTTAAAGATATACAAATCCTAAGGATTAGCAGGGCTTCCATAAAAAAAAATGCTCTTTTGAAAGAGTGATTTTCCACTTAAAATCACTGCAGTGTTTCTCTGTATATCACCATGGTGTGGTATGGGGGATCTTTTTCCGTAGTTTTTGTGCCTTAAACTCACTTTGAGTATAATGTGCTGAACAATGAATCAATGCAGCTGTAGTTATTAATATCTACCATGGATACAGTTTTTCAACTAGAATCTGTTTGATCATAGCGGGCTATGTGAGATATACTCTGTAAGCATGTATGAAAGAGAATGAGAACATGGAATATATACATATATATCTTAAATCTGAATTTCTAAAAGATAGAGGGATAATCATTGGAAATAATTTCCCTTGATTTAAGAGCAGTAGGAAATTAATTTAGCAAATTTCTGTCACGTTTTAAAGAATCAGTCTATTGAATACAATGAATTAGCAAATTTTGAAATCTCCAGTGCAGATCAGGCAACTCTCATGGTCCAAACTTGGAGTTCAGAAGTAAAGAGATATATCAAACAAACATACAAATGCCTGCCCATGTGGAGTTGTGTTCCAGAAGAGAAATCAATTATTCCAGTAATTCTGTGTGATTTAAATAGAGTTGAAATTGTGACAATTACTGCTTATCACAAATGTTTTTTTTCCAGATCTTTATTTATTAAACTTGTTTATGGTAGTACATTTCACAAAAGTATATCAGTGTTGACTGTATATGAGATAAAGGTGCGTGTAATAGTTTTTAATCAGTAATTCCTAGCTAATGTACTACAAAATCATGTACTCCCTTGTTTCAAGCCCAGGATATACACTGTACATGCCACCCATTGCTTAGCAACATCAAAGCATTCTTTTTAAAGACAGTGATCTTTTCAGATAGCGATGTTTTTCTTTATTATTCATAATGAATTCATATTGGTCTTTAGAGGCCCGTGCCCTTCACCTGTAAACCATAGTGACAAGCATTACTGTACCTTACAATGATTTATCCAGTTAATCTCTGATTTGTGTGTTATTTTTGGAAAATGTAAGTAGGTTTTTCTTTCTGGCAATTTTTGAAAATGACTCTTCTGTTAACTTTTCAGTGAAGAAGACAGAGCCAGCTGAAAGGGCTTCATATGCATGCATACTGTGCATGAAAATAGCTCTTAGGTTTCACAGAGTACTATTTTGCAAATGCTGTTTCACAGTGAGATGGAAGATATCTCAAAGTTATTTGGGAATAATTTCAATAACATTTTGTGTAACAAGGGCTTGGTCCTTTTCGTATTTAAATGTAAGGTCAAAGCTGTTATTTTGTGCTAAGATGGGATGAACTTTGTTGTCATTTTGTTGCTGCATGAATGAAGAGGAAGGGAAAATTCAGTGTATTAAGGTTAGGCAGGGAATTCCTTGTATATATTTATAAGTGCTTTTTATATGTGCTTTTTTTCTGTGTAGTTATTCTGATTTGTACTGTGTAGTGTCATAATGGTATAGCAGAAGCTTATTTCTGTCTGTGCTTCTACATTTACCTTGCTTGTTACTACGGTCCTTCATAGGTTTATAAGAATGTCTCAAAACAAAGATGTTGTGTAAAGGAAGAGTACTAGTATGTGCACCACAAAGCTTAGAAACAGTTACTGCTGGTGTGAGTCTAATGGTAAGGGTCAGAATGCAGGGTTAATGAGTAGCGTGCTCTAATTAACAAGATCACTACAATGGGATGACCAGGCAGGCAAGTGGGAACCTCTCACACCAAAAAATAAAATAATCACTGCTGCAGTGATGATTTGCTGTTTTCAGAAATGGTTTCAGCACCTTAATCTACAGTCTCTTTGCTTCACGTGCCTGTAGAGCCACTGAGAAGCATCTGTTCCTTGGTCTGTCTTTTCATCTCTCCCGTTTTGTTTTCACCCTCTCTATAGTTAACCTTACTGATTATGTCTTGGATCTCATTGCAACCTTCTCTCTTCAATACAGGATGAGCAGCCAGGCTGACATATGGCTTAGCTGAGATTTCCTGCCTCAGAAGGCAGCACACTCATAATAATGAGCAGGCACTCCGGAGTCTTTATAGAAGCAGATATCAGCTCTTCTGATCTAAATTTCTTTTTACCACCATTCTCTGTGGTTACTGGGTGACTTAGAAATACAGCTGCATGTGATCCTCATGAATAACTTTGCTTGGTGATCTGTGCACACTTTTCAGGAAAGAACTAAAGCTGTAAGACCCAGGAATTCGTGGGCATTTTTTTCTTTCTTTCTTTCTTTCTTTTTTTTTTTTTTAAG